GATATACGCGTACGCCAACACACTTCTGCTGAAACGCCATACATCATCACACTGGCGAAAACAACGCCAACCAGGTACCGCAAATCCTGGCAGCGAACTTAAGCGAAACAAATCAATTGAACTAACAAGTCGCCGCTGCGGATCTATAGTACAAGTCGGGATGGGGCGTCGCTTCCCGCACGGTTTGCTCTGCGGCGCCAGAACCTTCTTTCAGAATTCGACGCATGCGTCCTCAATGCAAAGCCACCGCAGGGTGCGACGACAACTTATCAACCAAATTCAACAAGCTAAGCGGGCAAACTCTGCGTGAGAAGGTGCTCCCATCGCTCGTGTTCCGGCGCACCAAACGCCAAATCCAAATCGGCCAAGGCGTGGATCACCTCCATGTTGATCCCGGCGCCAGTCTGGCGGAGCAGTATACTTATTTGAACTGCACCTGCCGCATGAAGCATTCTTTTTTGTTCATGACCGATATGGCAAAGTCCTTGGGCCTGCTCAAGGAACCTGTCAGAAGCGCCATACGCCCCAGAGGGCCAGGCAACTGAAGTTCCACGCAGCGTGATGACATTTATCGTTCCCCACATTATTGCGCAGACGTCTTGCTTGTATCTGCGTCCTGCCATCCACCGCCGCATCCACCCCCATCCCCCCCGCTTGCACTCACTTGCACCCCCACCCTTGCACTCACTCACGTTCAATCTATCTCGCATTGTTTGATTGTTCGGGCAACGCGCTCAACTCAACTCTCAAACCACTGCCTCACCCAACTCAAGTCACTCACATTACCTCACTCCTACCAATTTACACACGCCGACTTGCACAGTCACACGCACGCTCTCACTCAACAGCTACATTCTGTTTCTTTCCACTTTTGCTTCCACTTGTTATGAACACAAAAGCTTCATATGTAGGGCTGTCTGGTCTTTTATCGTCTCCCATGACTTGCCACAGTTCACGTTAACGACCAAGATCAATGCTCAGTATTATTGTCGATGGGGTCAGGTATGATTCAAAAACAAACTGTCAATAATTCAGTTCAATGGGTTCCCGTGAAACATCAGCCAAGAGACAGCGATCGGGCTTTTGGCATGCGGGGACACAAGTGTTGCGTGTGTGGCTGTTGTCGTCGTTACGTCGCAAGTGATCACGTTGATCAACCTGCCCTGGCCAATCCCGCCATGAGCCATCATCCTCGGTCCTCGGGGTCGACTGCAAGCTGGATACCTCGTGGCGGGTGGAGGCGGCGATTGAGTCTGCCCTCAGTCGTTTGACAAGTAACACAGTGAGACGCTCACAGGACAGCACATGACTCGAATTTCAACTACGCCACGAGCTGCGTGAGGGCATTTTCAACACCCTTCAAAAGGTAACCAGACTTGTCAATCCCCTTGAAAGCAGCCCTCAGCAACATGAACAGGCTCAGATCTCCACAACGCTGCCAATATCAGATACACAAAATTTTGCCGCCTTGCGATTAGCCACGCGAAGCAAGTAAAGAGACTAAGATCAAAGCCCTCCGACAAGTGACACATGACTTGCGACCCAAGCCAAACCATGCATGCGGACATGAAACGCTGAACTTTTGCTAAGGCACCCACACACTTTTCCTGCTTTCACATCAGTCTTTCTTAAACGAATGCAATCGCAAAAGTGCTGCGCAAGCCAGCATCTTCTCCGCGCACAAGGACACGTCAACGTGAGTCTGCCTCTTCAAGGATGTGTTCAGCGCTGGACCTAGGAGGTGACCGTTGACAGGCAGTGTCTGTCACAGGACCAAGGCTCATTCTGAGCATCCAGTGACGAAAGTCCTTGCCTTTCGATAGGCCATGAAAAGGGCGCCATAGTCACGCGTTGACAATGTGACGTGTGGCTGGATGTCAGGGCAAGGATATCGTCGTCGTGTGGCATAATTGGGTTCAACCAAGCACTCCCGAAGTCACCTACTTAACTGTCACTCTGTCAACCTTCTGACTGTGTCAAGCGACATGCGCTGCAAGGCGACGACTTGTTCAATGACTGAATGTTTGACTCTGAGGCGTGTGGCATGTGGCATGTGATCCTGGGCATCTGACAAAACATGAAGACCGCCGAAGGCAAGCGAATGATTTAATTTAAACATGACTCAACGCTGCAAAGCTTGTGTTGCATGAAAAGTGACACGTGACTCACAATGGCAAATGAAGGACTTTTAACAGCTTCGCGTCTGTCTGCGAGGAAGGCCTGAACCTCCCAACCCATGAGGCATTGGACGTCACATGATTTAAATTTAATTCTGAGCCGAAATTCTGCAGTACATGAAGGACGAGCGGTTTGGTGGACCACTTGATAGCTAGATAAATTGCAGAAAAATACGTTAAAAGAAACTCAAATGCTGCAGAAACATATTTTGAAAACTCAGATGTCGACCCGGATAAACTGCAGAAACACAAATACCTATAGTACCAAAAAAGAACTCAAAGGTCCACCCAGCTACTGCCGAAGCCGAACCCATGACAACTTTGTGAGTCGGGCGTCATGGATTTCTCCTCAGGCGACATCTGCGCAATGCGCTGCATGATCTCGCCCTCACCTCAGCGGCACAGAGCAAAATCAACCTTGCGAAGCTGTGGAAAGGCAGAAGGCCAAGTTCTTGTATTCCATGATATTCCATGTCCAATGGGCCCTTCATTCATGCGTCGGTTATACCTGCTGTTGTTCCACAGGTAGATTCCAGGAGCCAACTAAACAGTTTTGTTCGCGGCTTCGAAGCCGCTTCAAAATCGTCCAGGCACTGAGGTTTGCCAGTTCCGCCAGGTCTGAAGCTTTCAGGGCGTCCGTGGGGCTAGGGCCGCTGGGATAGAGAGCCTTCTTCACCTCGGATGATGGACGCCGCTCGCCGCGCATGGGCAGGCTCGCAACACCTCACTGGTCTCCAGTCGCATGAAACCTATGGCCACACCGAATAGGTCCCGCAAAGATACTAGATTCGTCCATTTTAAGTTTATATATTTCTCAGGCTCGGCACGTTCTCCAAGAAGCCCTTCTTCATGGCCGGAGACTGTGATGTGGGGCCCTCCTGCTTGGGCTCATCAATCTTCTTTGGCACGCCTGAAGCCAAATCAACTGGTCGGTCTTCTAGTATGCCATGAAAAAAGACTCTAGAGGAACAGAGACAAACGCTTGACACGATTTAAGATATCCCTCAACGATTGGTTTTGAAGCCATGCCCGGCATATCCTAACCATTAATGCGACGACCGGCAAAAAACGGACGTCTTGCGTGGCCTTTCGCATCGAAATAGTAGTCCCGGCTATCCTTCTCAGGCGGCTCAGGCTCTTCTTCGATCTGCTCGAACCTTGCGCACCACACTTGAGGACTCGAATGGTCTAAACAAGAAAGTGAGCCGTCAAAAAAAATTGCCAATCAAAAACTCTCGAGCATTGACTAACGAATCCCAAAAATCCGTGCCAGAATGATGATGGTAGTGGTAGTGGTAGTGGTAGAAGCTGCTTGCAAATCAGATTTCGTGGCAGGCTAGGAAACCGAAATACGAGATGCAGATTTCGTGGCGCGGGAGGCGGGTTCGCGGGAGCGCGCTTCCTCCTTCCCCTCGGGCGGCTCACAAAAGGTATGCTACGTTAGAACGGCTTCTATGATAGAATGGCTCTTTCCTCCTCCAACATTCTGCCTCGGCTGACTTTCAAAAGGTATGCAACCTTGGGGTAGCTCCTTCTTCTAAAGTTCACCCCCTACAGCGGAATGGCAACTTCCCCACCTTGAAATTTTAACATCGACTGGCCCACAAAGGTGCGGTCCTTCCTCTAAATTGTTCCCTCAGTTGGCCCACAAAAGGTGTGCTACGTCGGAATTTCTCCGTCCTCCTCCTAGACTGGCCCACAAAAGGTATGCTGTGTCCGAATGGCTCCTTCCTCCTTGAAACGTTACAAGCAAGTGGCCAACAGAAGGTATGCTACGTTCGAGTGGTATTTGTTCCACAGCACCCTTGGAAAATTGGGAGTGGGGTGTGCAGCCATTATGGTGAAGGCCTTCAAGGCTTCCAAAATGCGCGTGTTTTTGAGCGAGTCGTTGTCGACATGTTTTGGCAAGGCGGCGTTTTCTGCGTTTTCTGCGTGAGTGCCATGGGCTTGGGTTGGTTCGATGCCTGTCGGATCAAGAGACGAAGTAGGACCAGGGACCAAAAGGCGGGAGGAGCTGATTAGGCACTTAGGCATTTTTTGTGTTTTGATTTTTGGATTGGGTGCAGTATTTATTGACAATCTGTTTTTGCTCCCTATGCCAAAGAATGATTCAACCCACGCAACTCAGTTGCGTTGTTAATCTCTCTTTGCGACGCATTCTTCAAATACAGACTCTCCCTGCTCACCGCACCGAATTGAGAGCTAAGAAGAGACCAACCTGGGACCTAGGACCTAGGACCTAGGTGGTGACTCGTCCTGAACCCAACCCTGTCGGATCTTGCATTTGCCTGGAGTAGTCATTGGTGTACTTCTTGGTGCCCTCTGTCCCATCTGGACGATCTGCTTCCCATCCTCACCGGTGCAACCGGCCGGCCAAAGCGCAGTCCGCTCGAAACATTGGAGTGCCGGAGGGGGGAAACAGGAGAAACCTCGGGCTTCACTCCATAAAGAAATGGAGCGACTCGCAACCCATGGAGTTTTGGTGTGATGTCCTTTCCCCGGTTGGCTTCTCTTTTTTTCGGGGTTTCCCTCGTATTGAGACACGGAGAAAACCTCAAAAAGCCTAGGCCCTAGTGGCCCTAGTCCTAGTCTCCTATTAGGTTGGAGGCCATTGTTCCTTCCACCTTCAAAACCAAGCCGCTGTCTGGCGCGCTCTTCTTGGCCCATTTGTCCAAGTCAGAGAGGATGTTGTCTCGGAACTCCTTGGAACGAGAAAGGCGTACCACCGCAGTCCAAACACACTAGGGGCTCCTGGCCTTACTATACTAGGAGCAAGGACGCTACTAGGGGCTCCTGGCATCGCTACTAGGAGCAAAGACGCTACTAGGGGCTCCTGGCCTTACTCCAGCCCAGTATGAGTTCCCCAAGAAGGGGTGACTCCGGTTCCAACGGAGAGACCCAACTGCGCCTCTCAGTCAGGAGCGAAACCAGCACCAAAACTCGCTCCTGCTGCTGGCGGTTGCTCTCATTAGTAGCATCCATTTGCTTCTGGTGTTCCTGACGAGGTGCGTCTCAAAGGCTTGGGGACGTCCCAAACACCAGAGCTAATGCACCCCAAGGCTGGTGGAGAGGATCCGTGCCAGTACTCCACAAAGGAAGAGCTCAAAACCTTTCAACCGCGCTAGCTTCTTCACGAGTTTATGCAAAGCTACCAGGTTCTCTACATTATATAGAATGATGACGATCATGGCAAGACCCCAACAAGCTTTCAATGCTCCATCATGCTCCTAAAGAAAGGTTGCGCACCTGGTACTCGGGACTTCTGGTGTCCACGATCTTGCACTGATCTCGTAACCCTCACGATGAGCGCAGAAGAGCAAAGCGTAGGGAGCAAGTTGTGTTGCAAAGTAGGAGACAAATGAGACAAATGCCTTTTACATCATTCTTCTGAGCGGCTTTTGGGGATGTAGCCGAGCGGGTCGCCCGCGTTCTCCGGCAAGACCCCTTCCTTGGAACCTGTCACCAGCGGCTCGCATCACATGCGTTGCTTGCCCGGTCGTATACGCACGCACGCGTCTCGTGGTGTGAGCTCCGCTCCGTTCGGTGCGGACCGTCGCCCAAACCCTGTGAGCCTTCAGGTCAAGCCTCCCGGTGCCCAACCCGTTGGAACGGAGGCAGCCTTCAGGTCCATAGAGTTTGGCCTTGCCATTCAAAAACCCCTTCTTGAGCGCCGGCGCTGGTCCTCGGCCGAGGAACAGCGATGAAAAGCCATGAAAAAAAACGATGAAAGGCTTTGGTAGAGCTTACCATGTCTAAAGCTCTTTGTAGGAAAAATCGAGATGGATAAAGGTTCAATGATTGAAATGTATTGAAATGTGTCAAAATTCCTTAAGCATCCTGCATGCTCGGAGGGGTCGAAGAATGAATCACTGCCATGGGGCTCACATCCGGCGTCAGATCCTCGATCAAGATCTCCTCCGGTTCCTCAATGTCTATGAAACTTCTCACTGGATTCCTTCAAAGACTAAGGAGTCTCCGCTCTTTCTGGGGGCCTGGTGACTAGTAATTCCATACTGGATTGCAACATTCTGTCGAGCATGAAGTCTGGTTTGTCCACGCTTTGCTTGCTTCCTGAAGCGTCCCGCACCTCTTTGGGCGGAGGAGTCCGAAGCTCTTCATCAAAGGAATCCTTTTCATCTGGAAGTTCTCCTGGGCTCGTTTTCGGCTACAAAACACGGACTTGGTAAAATGCTGGTCATGGCAGGAGCCTTTGTCCTCCATCATAACATTTGTCCAGCTTCTGTGCAGCGCTTCAATAGCTTCAATCCCCCACTAGTCCCCATGTAGTAAGACGATCGTCCTAATATGTCCTAATAAGTTATATTTGAGTTGTTCCCTTCCTTCGGGATGTCAAGTAGTGGTTGTTCTTGGATAGGTCTTCACCTCTTCAAAACCAAGGCACGGAACTCTCTGGCATCACCATCTTCGCCATCCTGAATGGGCCGAAGCGCGGCGTCATATCTCCCGGGCGCGTATGGAGGAGATGGCACCCGGTTCAGGCACGATGCGGTGCCCTTGGAGAACTCATGTGACGAAGCTTGAGGGTCTAAGGGAGTTCGTGGCATCTGTTCACCAGTTCGAGACTTGAATGTCCCATCAGAACTGAAGACCAAACGGGCTAGGTACCTGTTGTTTTTTTATTCGTCAATCAATTCAGCCCCATGGAGGCCTTGTACCTGAAGTCTTTCACCAATTTGATACTCGAGGTCTCCAGCTTCACGTTCAAGCTCTCCTGGCGACTGTGTCGCGGATTTTCACGGCCGGGACTGGGCTGGGGACGGATTCCAATGGGCCATGAGCGCCATGGGGGAGTCGTGGGCCGCACCAAGCTGAGGCCCTCGGATGTGGCTCGGCAGGCTCAGCTCGGCCTCAATGCGCTTCAGGGTGAGGTTGATGACGAAGGGTCGGAAGGACTCCATGCTGTTGCAGAAGGCATCATCCACAAAGAGCTGTATGATGAGAGGGTGGAACACCACGTCCTCACATCAATGGCTCAAGGCACCCTACAAGAAAATTGGAGAAATCCCGCAGAAAGGAACACTCAGTCAGAACTCTCTGGATGACGTTCAGTCGTTCACAAGGCTTCGAAGCCAAGCGTCCAAACAGTAGGTCGTCTGCTTTGCACCCTCGGCACGTTCGCCCTTGACTTTTCCTGGGCACTGATCAATCTCGATCTTGGACGTCTAAGCTCTCACCGAATCATCCTCTGTGAGTTTTTGGGCTGTTGTTTTCCCGCCAGTTGACTAGTCTAGTTTTTTGCTTGCAAAAGGCAGTCTTGACCAACTTTCACATCATGGTTCTTTCCAAATCTGGTGAACTTCCTGATTGAACCATATGCATTCCATTGTATTCCCATGTCACCCATGTGACCCTAGATGACATTAAATGACCTATTCCGCAGTCTTTCACGATCCATCTTCCAAGGTGCGGAAGGAGCCCATATCAAACGGCACCTGCAGATTAGCGATGCCATGGCGTAAGATCCAATCCTTCGTGACCTGCCACAGGTGCCGACAATTCTCAAGTCATCGCAAGAGGCTTGCTTGCTCGGTCGCTTGCTGAGAATCGAACAAAGCAGCAACTGTCAAAGAGTCAAGGCCCCTCAAGCCTTCTGTCCGGAGTACGACACCGGCAACTCCACCAGCTTGTGCATGGTCATGTTGAGAAACCTCGAGGCCGGCTGTGACTGTGTGACTTCAGCTTCAATGGCTTCCTTTGAGCCAAGAGTCACAACAAAACTCTGCTACTATACCTCCAGTCGACCTATGCTTCACTACCAAATCTGCACAACTCGAGTTCTGGAATGAAGATCTGGCGCCCGGGATCCATCTTCACGCATCTGGGCTGCCAAACCCCTTCCTCCTCCTTACTCCCACGCCATCCCCCTTCGACCTTCCTGCCCCACCGGTCCGCGTGGCCATCGCCCCGGAGGAGAGCCGGTGCTTCTGGCCTGGCCAGATCTGAAAATCCCCAGTGTTTAGAATTGGAATGACCTAAAGTCAGTATTTGACAGGGCAACCGTACCTTCTTGGAAAGCTGGCCACTTGTGAACTGCGTGGGTGCCCCCCACCTGCAAACAGAAACCCACCCCAGGCCGCAGCGCCGGCGTGGGCCCCACCGCCATGGCAATGGCAGAAGCGACAGAATCAACTGAATCAACTGAACCTTTGCAAGGTGTACAGCACTCTCATCAGGCATCAGAGGCACAGTTTGCAGTGATCTCTTGATCTAGCACTATCCTTTTTGGGTTGCCAATACCAGTCTATGTTGCTGCAAATACCTGACTGTGGCTCCGGCTCAAGCATTTGTTGATATCGTTTGGAGAAGAATGATGAGGTATAATTAGGCACTTCACACCCACAATCTGTCATGAAAAGTCCTAGCTACGCTGGCAGTGAGGCCGCCACAATTGGATGCGACGGAGCAAACGGAACAAGAGTGATCCCCAAAGGCATTCTCCACCAGGGCCAAGATGCTACTAGCATCTTCTCTCTCCCAACTCTTCTCAGTACGAGGAATCTGACAACCCTGTGTGGGCTCTGGTGACCAGATCATGCAGGTTTCGACTTCCCAGGGGGTATTCCTACGTCCGATCCGCTTCATCCGGCCTGGCCGAGGCGGGTAGCCTGGGGCGGGTGACGCCGTTCGGCACGTCGTTTGCACCACAAACGCTCTTTTGGAAATCACCGCGTTTTCAGAAAGTTGTGACCAACAAACATGTCGTTCAAGCTGGAAAGGACCGATGGAATCCTTGGCAGATAGGAATCTCGCACCTGGCGGTATTCCACCAGCACTGCCATGCCTTAGAAGTCCAAGTCGGATGCTGGAGGCACCCCTCTAACCCAGTTTCAGCGCGAAGCCGTGCAGGAAAAGAAACGAACTTGAAAAACGACATCTCAAGACATCAGGCATGTCGTCACATTGAAGTCACTGTACTAGGTTGCCTGGCTTGTCAAGGGCATTGAATTTCATGTTGTGGACATGCAAAATGTATCATTGAAAACTGTGGCTATAAACACAATCCAGTAAATGTGCACAGTGCACAGGCCCGATTCCTGTCCAGTCAAACACCTCCATCTGGGCCACCCCAACCACCCCTGCGGTGGCGAGGTCCTCGGGGTGGTGGGGGGGGGGCTGTGCCGGGCTGTGTCTGGGAGTCTCTCGGAAAAATGGGTGATCCCCCACACCGCGGACGTGGAGTTTCGGCCTTAATGATTGACAAATCAAGCCACGAAGTCCTTGAGAACTTGAGGCCAAGGGGGGGGCGAAAGCTAGCGCTCCAGAATGGGAAAGTGGAGGGCAGCGAGGTAGGAAAAAACACGGCGCTCTTTTTGGAGGCAGGGGTGAAGAGTCCTTTATATGTGGCTCTTTGCCCGGATCCTCCTGCGAGAGAAGAGAGAGAAGAGAGACGGAAAGACGAGAGACAGAGAGGAGAGAGAGAGAGAGAGAGGAGAGAGAGATGAGAGAGATGAGAAAGAGATGAGAGAGATGAGAGAGATGAGAGAGACAGTGAGACAGTGAGAGAGTGAGAGTGAGAGTGAGCGAGTGCGGCCGCAAGATACGCAACGCTAACCGCATGCCAAAGAGCGACGACAGGACGGAGTCGAACTTGCGAAGAGGGAGGAGGGAGGGACGGAGGGAAGATGGGAGGAAGACAAGGAGGAGGAGAGGGGAGGTGGGG